ACAGTTTTTCCAGCCTCTATTGAGGTGATCTACGGTGTATACACATTTCCCAACATTGAACCATGCTTCGTTCCTGGAATGATGCCTATGATGTATTGTAGCCTTCCAGTGTGGACCTCATTTCCTGTTAAGATTTTTGTATCAGTGCTCGTAGAGAGATGAGTATAGTTCTCCTTTTTCGGGAACTGTCTGTATTAGCTTTGGGTGTCAGTGTTACACATGATTCAGAAAAACATTGGAAAGGGTTTTAGATTTTTTTTTTTTCACACTTTGAATTTTCTGGACCAGGGCACACTGCACTTGGACTGTCTGTGTTATCAGTGTGAGAGAAGCCCCTGGACCAGGGCACACTGCACTTGGACTGTCTGTGTTAATGGTGTGAGAGAAGCCCTGGACCAGGGCACACTGCACTTGGACTGTCTGTGTTATCAGTGTGAGAGAAGCCCCTGGACCAGGGCACACTGCACTTGGACTGTCTGTGTTAATGGTGTGAGAGAAGCCCTGGACCAGGGCACACTGCACTTGGACTGCCTGTGTTAATGGTGTGAGAGAAGCCCTGGACCAGGGCACACTGCACTTGGACTGTCTGTGTTAATGGTGTGAGAGAAGCCCTGGACCAGGGCACACTGCACTTGGACTGTCTGTGTTAATGGTGTGAGAGAAGCCCTGGACCAGGGCACACTGCACTTGGACTGTCTGTGTTCACGGTGTGAGAGAAGCCCTGGACCAGGGCACACTGCACTTGGACTGCCTGTGTTCACGGTGTGAGAGAAGCCCCTGGACCAGGGCACACTGCACTTGGACTGCCTGTGTTCACGGTGTGAGAGAAGCCCTGGACCAGGGCACACTGCACTTGGACTGTCTGTGTTATCAGTGTGAGAGAAGCCCCTGGACCAGGGCACACTGCACTTGGACTGTCTGTGTTAATGGTGTGAGAGAAGCCCTGGACCAGGGCACACTGCACTTGGACTGTCTGTGTTATCAGTGTGAGAGAAGCCCTGAACCAGGGCACACTGCACTTGGACTGTCTGTGTTCACGGTGTGAGAGAAGCCCTGGACCAGGGCACACTGCACTTGGACTGCCTGTGTTCACGGTGTGAGAGAAGCCCCTGGACCAGGGCACACTGCACTTGGACTGCCTGTGTTCACGGTGTGAGAGAAGCCCTGGACCAGGGCACACTGCACTTGGACTGCCTGTGTTCACGGTGTGAGAGAAGCCCTGGACCAGGGCACACTGCACTTGGACTGCCTGTGTTCACGGTGTGAGAGAAGCCCTGGACCAGGGCACACTGCACTTGAACTGCCTGTGTTCACGGTGTGAGAGAAGCCCCTGGACGACCGTGGGCCTGGTGCCTTCTTCTGAGGTGCCCTGTTGATCACAATCTTCCCTCTGTGGGAACTGGGGATATTTCTGTTTGTGGATGTCTACAAAGTAGTCTCATAATTTTTTTTTTTTAAGATTTATTTATTTGCAAGGTGGAGTGACAAAGAGAAAAAAAGCTTCCCTTCACTGGTCTACTACCCAGATGGCCGCAGTGACCAGGATCTGAACTCCATCCTGGTCTCTCAGTGGGCGCAGGGCCCAGTCCTTGTCATCCTCCACTGGCTTCCCAGGCACCTCAGCAGGGAGCCAGATTCCGAGTGGAGTGGCCAGGACTGAACTGACACCCCCACGTGGAATGCCGGCACGGCACCCGGAGCTCATGGTGTCTGTGACTCTTCAGCGATTACCATCCCCTTGTCGTTTTCCTGTATTATGTATTTGTTCTGTTTTAAGTTAGTGATGCGTCTGTGTTTAAAAAAAAAAAAAGACAAAACAAACAAAACTGGGGTCCTGGGGCCAGCGCATGGTGCAGTAGGTTCAACCTGCACCTGCGGCGCCGGCAGCCCATGTGGGCGCCAGTTCTAGTCCCGGCTGCTCCTCTTCCAGGCCAGCTCTCTGCTGTGGCATGTGACCTGCTTTCTTTGCTCCTGTATTTAGGGGGAAAAAAACTATTATATGGGAAAAATTGTTTTCATCCTAGTTGATCTTTGACTTGTAATGCCCCAGGGGCCTCCCTCCAGCCTTGGGTGCTCCCACCCCCACTCCTCACAGCCTGGGGTCCTCCCACCCCCACTCCTCACGGCCTGGGGTCCTCCCACCCCCACTCCTCACAGCCTGGGGTCCTCCCACCCCCACTCCTCACGGCCTGGGGTCTCCTGCCTACTCCTCACGGCCTGGGGTACCCCCCACTCCTCATAGCCTGGGGTCCCCCCCACTCCTCACAGCCTGGGGTCCCCCCCACTCCTCATAGCCTGGGGTCCTCCCACCCCCACTCCTCACAGCCTGGGGTCCCCCCCACTCCTCATAGCCTGGGGTCCTCCCACCCCCACTCCTCACAGCCTGGGGTCCCCCCCACTCCTCATAGCCTGGGGTCCTCCCACCCCCACTCCTTACGGCCTGGGATCCCCCCCACTCCTCATGGCCTGGGGTCTCCCGCCCACTCCTCACAGCCTGGGGTCCTCCCACCCCCACTCTCACAGCCTGGGGTCCTCCCACCCCCACTCTCACAGCCTGGGGTCCCCCCCACTCCTCATAGCCTGGGGTCCTCCCACCCCCACTCCTTACGGCCTGGGATCCCCCCCACTCCTCATGGCCTGGGGTCTCCCGCCCACTCCTCACAGCCTGGGGTCCTCCCACCCCCACTCTCACGGCCTGGGATTCCCCCCCCCACGGCCTGGGCCCCCCCACTCTGGGCGGCCTCAGCAGCAGTCTGATCCCACCCCTCCTGCCCCTGCTTTGTCACACAACTGGAGGTGTTGCCTCAGGGCGTCCCGGGCTGTCCAGCATCGTCTCCTGACGCCCGCATGTGGCTGGAACTGGGTTCCGTTTGGCGATGAGTTCTGATCAGAAGGAGGGTATCGGGAACCGCTGTGCTGTGCGAGCACCTGCCGCAGCCGGAGCTGCCCCTCGTGGGAACGGGGTGGGAACTGGCCGCGGCTGGCCTGCGGGGCTGCTGCAGACCGGTGTCCTTGCTCGCGGCTCTCTCGATCCGGGGCCGGGGCGCCACCACCTTGCTTTCTGCTGCTCGAGCCTTAAAAGTTGAGATACAGAGGTCTGCCCTGCAGCAGCCCCTCTGTGCACAGGCTGCTGGCACTTCCTGGGGACCCCCCTCCCCTGGCTGCGTTTCCTTTGAACCTCGTCCGAGGTTCCCAGGTTTTGTTGCTCTTCCCCCACAAGATGACAGGACGCACCCAGCCTGGGCTCCCCGTGGCGACCCTGACCTCAGATGAGCTCTGTGCCTGTGGGTGCAGCTGAGCTGGCCGAGGCCGTCACAGAGCGGGGGCAGGAGGACGGCTTGTGGCGTCTGACGTGCTGTGGAGTGGCACAGTCCAGAGTCTGCCTGCAAACGCCTGGTGCCTGGGCGGGTAATGGGGAACACCTTTGTGTTCTTGGAGCCTGGTACAGGCCCTTCTCGTGCCTGCCCTGTCACGGCCCCGCCTCAGGGCACAGTGGCCAGAAGGGGCACACGGAGGAGAGGGCAGGGAGAGCTTCCGGGAGGGCCGCAGCCGCTGCGGGAGCTGGGCCGGAGCACGCTGCTCTGCGGAGCGCACCTGTGAGTGGAAGCAGGCGCCACGGGGAGCCCCGTTAGGCCTAGACCCGAGGGGCAGCACTGCGGCGCCAGCATCTGGTATGGGAGCCAGTTCAAATCCCAGCTGCTCAGCTTCAGATTAGCTCCCTGCCAGCGTGCCTGGGAAGGCAGCAGAGGATGGCCCAAGTACATGGGTGACCCCAAGGACGCTCTGGGCTCTGACTTTGGCCTGGTCCAGCCCCGGCCATTGCAGCCATCTCTGTCTCTCCTTCTGTGTGTGTGTGTGTGTGTGTGTGTGTGTGTGTGTGTGTGTCACTCTGCCTTTCAAATAAATAAAACAATCTTTAAAAAGTAAAATGTTTAAAAAAGCTAGAGCTGGGGAGCTGGGGAGCTGGGCAGCAGGCAGTGGGAGTGTAGTCCAGGTCAGCACCCAGACAGGTGGGGAAAAGTGCGCCGCCTGCTGTTGAGGAAGAGTGCCAGCACGCGACAGGGCGTGTGGGAGGAAGGCAGGCAGGAGCACCGTTTCTGGGCCCTACCTCGGCGGCCCTGGTGCACAGGAGGAAACAGTGAGAGGCCTGACAGTGATGCCAGGAGGGTGTGGCTTGATAGATGGGAGCTTGGGGAGGAATTCCAGGTGGAGGTGGAGGCTTCGGGGGAGAGGCACCCACGGGTGTTCCTGTGCAGGGAGGAAGATGGAGGCGTGGCAGCTCTGGGCACGGGAGCCGTTTCAGCGCTGATGCCCTCTGCCCCGCCGTGGGAGGGACCCAGCGATGGGGAGGGTCTAAGACAGCGCCCTGTCCAGCACCTGGGAGTGGAAGTGTGGTGGTCTCTGCCCTCGTCCCAGGCAGGTGTGTGCTGATGGGGCCTCCTGGACACTCGCACGGAGCCCGGGGATGGTGCTCCTGATGCACCCCCGGAGGCAGAGCGCCGGAGAGAGACGGACGTCCTGAGACTTGCCGAGAACGAACGGATCAGGTTGTCCCTGCTCTCCCGCCTGTTGTCAAGAGGCTGTTTAACTGCCACCTGAAATGCAGCCTGAAAAGTTGGCTCAGGCTCTGGTTGTGCTGTGAGAGGCGATGCCTGGGAGAGCCGCCTTCCTGCAGGCCTGGTGTCTGGCTCCTCGTGCTGCCGAGGGCACGTCCAGGGACAGCACTGTCCCCGCCCTGGGCCTGCTCTTCTAAAGGGCACCACGACCACTCCCGGGGGGAATCTGGGTTCCAACAAGGGGACCACCTAAGGGGGCCTGGTGCTGCGGTCGCCTTGCACAGCGGACATGTGAGTCACACGATTTCCAGCGTGGATCTGAGTGGCACCCGAGAGATCCGCCCTCATTTTAGAAACCTTTGCTAGCAATTCACGAAGCTGTTGGAATGATTTCTTGTGCTCTGAGTTTATCATTTGACCTGCCTCTTTTCTTTGATTTTGCAGATGATGTGTTTCTGCCTAAAGACATCGACCTGGACAGTGTGGACATGGACGAGACGGAGAGGGAAGTGGAGTATTTCAAAAGGTAATGGGGGCGGCGTGGAGGCCCAGTGCTCTTGCAGTTGTCCTGGAGGAAGGCAGCTGGCTGCCGAGTAGCGTTCTAGAAGGATCCGGGGGCCGGCAGCACCAGCAGGGGCTTAGAATCCACGTGGGGGGAGTCATTCCTTCCAGAGGACCCTGATGTGGGCTGTTTGAATAGGCGGGTTTGGTGTACTTCCAAGGACAGAAGCCACATGTTAGAGATTTGCCCAGTTTTCCTAGTAGGCAGACTTTTTTGGTACTATAATAATAATGTTCTATTACATGAATTCTGGCAACAAAAAAATGTAAGATTTATTTATTTGAGAGGTAGAGTGATCAGAGAAGAAGCAGGGTGTGTGTGTGCGCGCGCGTGTGTGTGAGAGACAGCGCACGCGAGGGAGCGCAAGTGCTTCCATCCGCTGATTTACGCCCCGGAACCCCGCAGTAGCCTGGATGAGCCAGGAGCCAGAACTCCATCCCGGCCTCAGCGTGGATGGCAGGCACTTGGGCCGCCCTGTGCTGCTCTCGCAGGTGCATCAGCAGGGAGCTGGATTGGAAGCAGAGCGGCCTCTCCCGTACGATGCGCCAGCATTGCAGCAGCAGCCCAACCCGCCGCTCCACATCACTGGCCCCACCCAGATAGATTTCCCAGTTCCTAGTTTTCCTTAGAAGCACTTTAACCTCCTGGTTTCACGCATCACACAGAAGAAGCAGGTGTAGAGCAGAGTCACTGACTCCCCTCTGAGCCGCTGCGGAACCCAGATGTTCCTGGACGATGTGTGTCTCGCTTAGGTTTTCAGCAGGCGGAGAAAAGCACTTGCTAAAGGTGCTTATCCAGTCGTAATAAAGCTCAGTAAAGCAGGACGGGAGGGGCTCATCTTGAGCGTGATGAAAGGCGGAGGTGCATGGTCAGCGCCTGAGTCAATGTCGCATTTAGGTGGACCATTGAAAGGCTGTCCGTTATTACAGCTTCTGTTTGTAGAGGCGTGAAAAGAACCAAGAAGGATAAACGAAATTTTCATTATTCTCTCAATGTATGTTTGTGTAGAATCTAAAAGAACCTAGAGGTACACATTATTTTTTCTTTAATGTTTATTTTTAATCTACTTGAAAGGCAGAGAAATAGAGAGAGCTTGAACCCACTGGTTCACTTCCCAGATGCCCACAGCAGAGCTGGGCCAGGCTGAAGCTGGGACCCTGAAACTCCACCCAGGTCTCCCATGTGGGTGGCAGGAGCCAGAGCCCTGGCACCAGGATGCACTGGCAGGACGTTGAGCCCGGAGCAGAGTCCCCAGGACTCACACCTAGTGTAGACTGGGGCATCCTAAGGAGCACCGCGCCCACTGCCCCTTGCGTGAAGACAGCTTTACCAGGCTGTGGAACAGAGTTGGCACACCAGAAGCACATCTCCAGAGGGACCCTCCCACGCCCAGTCTCTGCTCCTTAGGGCATGTTTGATCTCACAAAGGCACCTCCTCCAACCCTAAAGGAACAGACTAGGCCTGGGTGGGGGCAGTTCAGGGGAAGCTGTGACCCGGGAGGAGTGAGTGTGCCTTGAGGCTGGGTTCAGGACAGGGATGGAGGAGGGGCACTTGTTGGCTATACACAGAACTTTGGAGGGCTTTTCCCAAGAAAGGCTTGTCGGACTCCCACATTGTAATAAACATCAAAATTGACCTGATTTTTTTAAAAAATTATTTATTTGTTTATTTATTTGAAGGAGTTACACACAGAGGAGGCTGAGAGAGAAGTCTTCCATCCTCTGGTTCACTCCCCTATTGGGCACAACGGCTGGAGCTGTGCTGATCCAAAGCCAGGAGCCAGGAGCTTCTTCCAGGTCTCCCATGTGGGTGCAGGAGCCGAAGCGCTTGGGCATCTTCCACTGCTTTCCCAGGCCACAGCAGAGAGCTGGATTGCAAGTGGAGCAGCTAGGACCTGAAGCAGCGCCCATATGGGATGCCGGCACTGCAGGCGGCAGCCTTACCCACTGCACCACAGCACCGGCCCCATTTGACCTGATTTTTATACTCAAGATATGGGGAAAATAGTGGAACATCTAGAAAGAGAAAAACGTGTAGAAAAAAGTAGGATAAATAGAAATTTAAAATCATAAGCCCACGCACACTTAGATCAGTTGCCGTGATGGACAGTAGGTGAGTACCTGCTCACCCTCCATATGGTCATATGTATATTCTGCTTCCAAGAACCTGGAAATAAAGGAGACTAGCAGGCCGGCGCCGCGGCTCACTAGGCTAATCCTCCACCTGCGGCGCTGGCACACCAGGTTCTAGTCCCGGTCGGGGCGCCAGATTCTGTCCCGGTTGCCCCTCTTCCAGGCCAGCTCTCTGCTATGGCCAGGGAGTGCAGTGGAGGATGGCCCAAGTGCTTGGGCCCTGCACCCCATGGGAGACCAGGAGAAGTACCTGGCTCCTGCCTTCGGATCAGCGCGGTGCGCCAGCCACGGCAGCCATTGGAGGGTGAACCAACGGCAAAAAGGAAAACCTTTCTCTCTGTCTCTCTCTCTCACTGTCCACTCTGCCTGTCAAAAAATAAAAAATAAATAAATAAATAAATAAATAAATAAATAAATAAAGGAGACTAGCAGATACCTCAGATAAAACTTGCACTGATGCCAGACAAAGTAGTTAGAATGGTATTTTAATTAAGGATTTACAGTAAGTACTTTTTTATCCCTAAACATTTGGGAATCTAAACGTGTGAGTTAAATAACTTACAGTTCAAGGAAGAAACCAGTCTCTGCCTCTCAAGTAATTAACTAAAAAAAAGAAGTGGACATTTAAAAATAGAACTACAAACTACACGGAATTTAAACGTCACATATGAAAAACCGTCTGCTTTTGGGAGCTCTTGGTAACAAAGCCTGAAGTGCCAAAATTAGCTTTTAGGTGAGCTGTAAACCAGCCAGGACACGCCGTTAGGTAGAAACAGGACGATCCTGCTTTTGGTAACTGTCAGAGTGGAGTGATGGCTGCGTGCATTAGACTGTATTCTGTGTGTGTGTGTGTGTGTGTGTTGTGTGTGTGCAAAGTTCTCTCTGCAGAGACAGAGAGGTCTTCCATCCACTGGGCCGATCCAAAGCCAGGAGCCAGGAGCTTCTTCCGGGTCTCCCACGCAGGTGCAGGGGCCCAAGGACTTGGGCCATCTTCCACTGCTTTCCCAGGCTACAGCAGAGAGCTGGATTGGAAGAGGAGCAGCCGGGACTCCAACCAGCGCCCGTGTGGGATGCCGGCGCTTCAGGCTTTACCCGCTGCGCCACGGCACCGGCCCCCCCATGTGTAAAATCCTACAATACAATCTAATTTTGTAAATATGTAAGCAAAGTAAGAAATAACTACAGATGTCATAGAGGTTAAAGTAAGAGACTACTGGGGGCATCAGTTGACTTTCAAACCTGAAATAAGACACAGAATTAAGCCATGGGGCAGATAGAAAGCCTGGCCACTACCGCGACTGCTGGACAGGAGAGCGACGTCCTCCAGCTCTGAGCGGGTCACCAGTCACGGACGGCCGGAACTGGAAGCGGAGACTCCTGCTTGATCTCGTGAGACAGGTGCAGTTTTGATGCAAAGTCTGACCCAAAACACAGAAAAAAGAAAAATTACAAGTTTTCCTCACTCGTGGGTATGAGATACAAAAGTCTTGAAATATTCTTGTGCTAAACCCACGAGTGTGTTTCACAAAGCAGCGTCCCCCAGCAAAGTGGCCAGCGACGCGAAGGGTGTGTGATGTTGGAAAACCCACTTGGGTGACTTCCTCCGTTGATGTAGTCAAGAAGAGCGTTGGATCGTTGTGACAGATGCAGGAAGTCGGAGCGGCTGCTGCGGTCGGCAAGGAGCGGCGCGTGGGCGCCAGGCGGCCTCCCCAGAGGAGGAGGCGCAGCCGCTGTCGGTCACTCCGTGGAGCGGTTGCACTTCCCAGCATTGTCCGCAGGAGCAGCTGGGAGCTGTCCACAAGGGGCTCCTAAAGCCTGGCGGGGGTGGGGGCGGCCGGCCGGCCGTGCAGCAGCTCAGAAATGAATGTCAACCAAAAGGAGGTCGTGTTACCAAACAGCCAATTATATCAGCTTCCGAGCAAGCAAAAGGAAAGCGCCTGGTCGCGCCAGCCACGCGGCACGTCTGCGTGCACAGAGGTGGACAGCACCCAAGTCCGAGGGACAGCCCGTGAGCCGTGAGGCTCACCGATGGGGAGTTCACCCGTGAGGACAGCAGAGGAACCGTGTGCCCAGGCCAGGCCCAGGCGGGAAGCGCGGGAGGCCTCGTGCTCGTGCCCTGAGTCTGACGGGTCCCGGACGGGTGGGCTCGTCCCCAGCTCTGCGAGCTGCTGCACGTAGGCCTCCCTGCGGCGGGCGTGCGAGAACTGGCGTGTGTGATGGGGCGAGAGCGGCGCTCGCACTGCGGACACGGGAGGCGCTCCGCAGAAGCCAGCACGCTAGGACTGGAGAAGGCCTCGCGTGTGAGGGGCGCGGGAGCCGGGCAGCGCAGTGTCCCAGGGCTCGACTAGGGGGAGCGTGCCTCTGCGGACAGCGATTCTTGATGTACGTTGGTGTGATCACCTTCTTGCACCAGAAGGGGGGCATCTGAGACCCTCCTGGAAGAACAAGGGGCTGTCGTCTTAGCCCCTGCTGAGGACTGAGCAGGTCTCAGTCAATGTGACGCCGGAGTGGCAGGCCAGCACCGAGTTGAGCTGGGTGAGGTGGATGCAGAGTGTGCGCACAGCGGGCGGGGCTCGGTCAGATGCCCGCCTCCCGCTGTGCTCCGTCAGATGCCTGCCTCCCGCTGTGCTCCGTCGCTTTCCCGTGGAGACTTTAGATGTTGGCCGGCGCTGTGCCACAGCAGGTGAGGCTGCCCCTGCAGTGCGGGCACCCCGTAGGGCACTGGTTTGAGTCCCAGCTCCTCCACTTCCTGACCCAGCTCACTGCTAATATGCTTGGGAAAAGCAACAGAAGGGGCCCAAGCGGGCCCCTGCACCCATGTGGGAGACCCGGAAGAAGCTCCTGGCTTCGGCCTGGCATAGCCCAGGCATTGTGGCTGTTTGGGGACTGAACCAGCTGATGGGAGATCTCTCAGTCTGTCCTTTCTCTCTAACTCTGCCTTTCAAATAAATAAATAAATATTAAAAAAAAATTTTAGATGTTGAAAGCAAACTTTTTTAATAAAAATGTATTTATTTCAAAAGTCTTCCCAGAGAGAGAACATGAGACCAGGAGGGAAAGAGAGAGAGAGGTCTTCCATCTGCTGGTTCAAATGGCCACAGGCTAAGGTTAGGAGCCAGGAGCTTCTTCCGGGTCTCCCACGTGGTGCAGGGCCCAAGGACTTGGGCCATCCTCTGCTGCTTTCCCGGGCCAAGCAGAGAGCTGGATCGGCTGCTCCACCTCTGACCCAGTGCTCTGCTGTGGCCTGGGAAAGCTGCTGAAAATGGCCCAAGTCCTTGGGCTCCTGCACCACGTGGGAGACCCGGAAGAAGCTCCCGGCTTCAGGTCAGCACAGCTCTGGCCGTTGTGGCCATCTGGGGGGTGAACCAGGAGATGGAAGACCTCTCTCTCTGCTCTGCCTCGCTGTAACTGCCTTTCAAATAAATAAATTCTTTTAAAAGATCTATTTTATTTATTTGAAAGAGTTACAGAGAGGTAGAGAGAGAGAGAGGTCTTCCATCCCCTGGTTCACTCCCCAGATGGCCACAACGGCCGGAACTGCGCGGATCCAGAGCCAGGAGCCTCCTCTGGGTCTCCCACGGAGGTGGGTGGACTTGGGCCATCTTCCCAGGCCACAGCAGAGAGCTTGATTGGTAGACGTAGCCAGCCTGTGACTAGAACCGGCAACATGTCGAGATGCTGGCCGCTTCAGGCCAGGGCCTTAACCCATTGTGCCACAGCGCTGGCCCTAATAAACAAATCTTTAGGAAAAAAAAAAAAAAAAAAAAAACGGTGCCCATATGGGATGCCAGCACTGCAGGTAGCAGCTTAACCTGTTACGTCTCAGCGCCGGCCCTGAAAGCAGACTTTTAATGTGGAAGAAAGTAAAGATGAATGATACCCTTCCAACCTCAGAGTAGGAAAAGAGGTCTTGAAACAGCCATAAAATAAGATTGATAAGTCGCACTTCTTTAGAATCTTGAATTTGTACACGTAACATAGAACTCAAGCAGCAAAGGTAGGCACGGAAAGGAGAGGCCGGTGGACAAAATCCCAGCGAGGCAGCCGCCGCCTGCTCCGAGTGTGCCTCCAGCGGCCGTCCGCACCGTCTGTACCACTTGGGGGAGAGCCCGGCGGGTCTGCAGGCGGGATCGCTCATCCCACGTAACCTGACAGGGCCACCCCTGCACACGTGCCGGGGGCGGGGCCGGGCACTGTGTGGCTTCGCACAGCCACGGAAGTGAGCAGTGCGCCGGGGCAGTGTCTCACAAACTTAGTGAGGAAAAATACCTAGAGGGTGGTGGTTCCTTGAGCTCGCAGGCCGCCCTGCCCGGCTCCTGCGGGGTGCATCTGAGCTGTGGAGGACAGGAGAGGACAACCAGCTGCCCAGAGCTGGCTGTGATGGGTGGGGGGCAACCAGGCCTCTGCACTCTAGTCCTGCATGTTCGCAGTCTCTGTGTGTGAGGCCAGAGGGGGCACCCTGGGCCGGGGCCTTCCGGAACAGCCAGGGGAGCCCTGCTGCGGTTGTGAGCAGGCGTGCAGTTGATAGACCACACGAGAACGAAGGAGACAGGAGAGAGGTGCTTGCCAGCGTTAGGAGGAGACAGAAGCAGGAGTGCAAGCTTCCAGAATGTTTATAGCATAATCGACTCTGGACTTGACAGGGTGTTTGGTTTGGTTTCTAAATATTTATTTAATTATTTGAAAGAGTTAGAGAGATGGGTAGACAGACCTTCCATCCACTGGTTCGCTCCCCAAATGGCCACAGCAGCTAGAGCTGAGCGGATCCGAAGCCAGGAGCCAGGACGTTCTTCCGGGTCTCCCACGTGGGTGCAGGGCCCAAGCACCTGGGCGTCTGCTGCTTTCCCAGGCCACACAGAGCTGGACGGGAAGTGGGCAGCTGGGACTGAAACCAGCACCCACACGGGCTGCAGCACTGCAGGCTGTGGTGTCACACTGTGCCACAGTGCCGGCCCCCTTGGTGGGTTTTGTTAAGACACGCACCTCCCGTCTGCTGGTGCACTCCCCCAAATGCCCACAGGGGTGGGGCTGGGCTGGAGAGAGAAGCCTGCTGCTGGGAACCCGGCTCTCCATCCAGGTCTCCCACGCGGGCGGCAGGAGCCCACTGGAGTCGGCAGCCGGAGCCGGGCGCTCCAGTGTGGGCTGAGGGCGTCTCGGCCCCGGGCTCGGTCTCCCCCCCGGTGGCCAGGTGGAGGGAGGCGCGGTGCTCTCCTTCTAGGACTGAGGCCTCGTGCCGCGGCCCTGGGCGGTGCTGCTGGCTCTGTGAATGGACAGTCTCACCTACTTAGTGACCGGCACCGACGCATGTCCAGGTTCCGCTCAAATTCCTGCTGCCCTGGAACAGTGAGAAGGAGAACTCCAACACTGTGGCGTGGCAGGCAGCGCCGCCGCCTGAGACGCCAGCATCCTCATGGGCACCGGTTCGAGTCCCGGCTGCTCCACTCCTCCCTGCTAATGCACCTGGGAAAGCAGCGGAAGATGGCCTGAGCGTTTGTCCCCTGCTGCCCGCGTGGGAGACCCCGCTGGAGCTCCTGGCGTCAGCCTGGCCCGGCCCTGGGCGTGGCAGCCATCTGGGGAGTGGCCCAGTGGATGGAAGACCCCTCCCCGTCTGTAACTGTGCCTTTCACATGCAGAAAACCGACTGTTCTGGCTATGAGGGAGTTTAAAAATAAGTTATGCATAGTAGGGTTTTGAAAGAAAATGTTCTTTCCTTCATTTAATGCAAAAAAACGGCCAGTGTTGCCAGGGAAGCAGAGGGCAGGCACAGGGTGGTCTTTCCCAAAGCCGCATTAGCGAGTGCCGAGCCCGGAGGCCGCAGCTGGCTGCAGGGGCCCGTGGGACTTCCAAGATGGTCGGCGGGCAGCCAGTGTGGGACCCCATCTCGCCATAATGAATTCCCACCAGCGATGACCCTCGTGATGAGCCGAGATAGACTGAAATCTCAGGATCGCACGTCCATCACAGGTCAGAGGTCACAGGTCACGCAGGCCAGACCCAGTTCAGGCTGGCTTACGGCAGCTCCAGAGCTGGGAGCGTCTGATGCCTGCACCCCGTGTCGGGGACCTGCTTGGGATACTCGGCCCCGGCTCGCTGACACACCCACCCTGGGGCAGCGGTGACGGCGCGCCTGGTCGGGTTCCCCCACCCACGACCTGAGCTGCCTGCCTGGCCTCGGCTCGGCCCAGCCACAGCCGTTGGGAGGGTTACGGGGAATAAACCAGCAGATGACGGTGTGTGCTCTCTGCCCCCCACACACCCCCCAAAATAAAAATAAGTGAATAGTTGGAGGGGAAAGAACATTTTATGACACAAAACGTACACAAACTGCATTTCACTGTCAGTGAGGTTTCATTGGAACACAGCCGTGCCCCAGTGCCATGCGCACTGCCTTCCCGTGACCATGGATGAGTCAGGCAAACTGCCGACCCCGACCTTAACCTCTGACCCTCCCGGCTGCAGAGTCCTGGGGCAGCCAGCCCTTAGCCGTGAAGGCTGAGGTCTGATTGCTTCCACCTCGTGACCCCACGTCCCCAGCTGTGGCCCTCCTGTCAGAGGCCCAGGGACGGTACTGCAGGGTCCACCAGGCTACACCGCCCTGCCAGGGCTTGGCCTAAGGGGCTGCTGTGGTCAGCCACACCTCCTGCCCGGCGCAGCCACCCACAGCCGCATTCAGAGGAACAAGGTGGCCCTCGGCACTCACTCTGGAACAGGCCATGGGCCAATCAGAGGTTTCCCCTGGGGGCTTGGTCAGAGAACGTGGGGTGCCTGGCGGACCCCTCCTGCCTTTGACCCCAGGGCCTCCTCCCCGAGCCCCTCGGAAGCTGCTGGCAGGGACGGGAGGTGGCGCCGGCCCAGTCTGGCTGTCTCCTTGGGTGACTTCGGCTCTCTTGTCTTCGCAGGTTCTGCTTGGATTCCGCCAGACAGACCCGGCAAAGGCTGTCCATCAACTGGTCCAACTTCAGCTTGAAAAAAGCCACCTTTGCCGCCCACTGAACAAGAACCGCCCAGAGAGGGGGCGGGCCAGGCCACGCCACCCTGAGACACCCCCAGACCGGGAGCCCGCCGCTCGGCCCGCGTCGCTAGCTCGTGTGCGTGTAGTCTGTGCGTGCGACTTCTCTGATCGTAGCCCTGTGCTGTCGGATTGGAACAGTAGTTCCCGCCACGTCCCGCCAGGATTCGAGTTTGCATCATCACGTGGCTCCGTCGCCTCTGCATCTCGCCCTGTCCCGTCCCCTGTCCCCGCCGGGGTGTCGGCCGTCACTCAGCCCTCGTGTGCCCCTGCCCCAGGCGGGCCCTCCAGTCTGCTGTTCCTGAGTGTACACGTCGCGCTGTTCGTGTCTGACCCCCGACCCGTAGCCAGCCTGTGTGAGACCCCTGCAGAATGAGGAGGTGAACGAGACCCGCCCAGTACTCACCATCAGTCTGTTTAGAGTGTACGACTATTAACACGGAGGCCTGCCTGGCTACTTTTTAACATATTGTTAAGTGATATTAAAATCATGTCTTTCTTTTTGAAAGATGGAACACATTAGTACAGCAGGAGACCTCGTCTGGTTGCTTTCTGCTGGTGGCGAGGGGTGGCTGCAGCGGGCGGGGCCTGGGAGGCGGTGGCCACGAGGCCGCGAGGTGGGGTGGGGCAGGGCCCACGGTGCCTGGCAGGGTGCCTGGGGAGTGCCTTGGGGATGAGGGGACGTTGCGTTAGGATCTGCAGAGGCCCCGCAGGGTAGGGCCGCCGGGGCCTTGTCAGGGGTGCCCAGCCACGTGGGGTGTGGGGCTGGAGGGAGCTGTGATTTATAAAATAGTGAATTACAAATACTAGATTGGAAATAGGAACGAAGTGAACAGCCTTTACAGGGAGGTCTGGGGGGTTGTAGACGCTCAGGGCTGCTTCCTGGCCACAGCCCGGTTCCCACTTACCTCCTAGAACTCTGTAGCTCCCGCTGTCCCGCCTCTCGGTGAACCTGCTTCCGTGCAGGGCGGGCGTGGGGGCTGCTGGACAGCTCATGGGGCAGGGCCGCCGCAGTCACAGGGTGCGGAGAACGAGGAGGAGGCCAAGCCGGGGACGGCAGATGGGTCAGCCGCCCGAGACGGGGGACCAGGACTGTCCCTGTTCGTTTTGTTTTTTCCAGATGGGAAGAAGAAACGGCAAAGGGAGACACGGGCTGGGCCGGGACCACGCAGGCGCAGTGCCTTCGAGAGGGGCAGGGCCCCCGCTGCAGGCCCCTCCCGTCCTGGCCCACGGGGCCACAGTCACGCCAGTGTCCCAGCTGCGCTGTGCCAGGGAGCCCTGGGGGCTGGACACTGGGCCTTTGCTCCCCTACCCTGGCGCCCTGGGGGCCGGACACTGGCCTCTGCTCCCCCCACCATGGCGCCGCTCGCTCTGGAAGACATAGCCTCATGTTTCTCTGGCTCTGGGCTCCAGAGCCCATGTCCTCGGGGACAGAAACCAGATGGAGCCAGGCCCAGGTGGCACAGGACCTCGCTGGCGCGGGCTCCCAGGGACCTGGAGCTGCAGGGCCTGGCTCTGGCCGTTCACCCACACACGGGGACGCCCTGGGACCCCCTCGGTTTCCAGGTGCTGCCCTGGGGAGGCCAGCGGCGGCAGTCACACTGGAGACGGCCCCTCACCAGCAGTCGGGAACTTTTTATTCATCTGTATGCACATCCTCACGCCACCGAAAATGCGAACTTGCGGTACCAGAAAAGAAACCACACCGCTGGGCACACGGCAGGTCCGGACGCTGCTTGGACTGCCCACTCCCGCATGGGTGCCAGCTCTAGTCCAGGCCCCCCAGTCCTGCGCCAGCTCCTAGTGTGCCTGGGAGGGCACACGGCAGCGGCTGGGGGCCTTGAGTCCCTGCCACCCTCCGTGGGAGACCCGATGGAGTCCCTGGCTTGAGCCCGCAGACGGGCGCGCCCTCCCTCTGTGGCTGGGAGACCGCATTGGCAGGTCTCCGCACAGGATGCCGGGACTGCCAGAGAAGTGCAGGCACCTCTGATCTGACCGGAATTCATCTCGGGGTGGCCCTGAGCACGGCGGGCTGAGCGGCTGCCCAGGGCACCACTGCTCCCTGCAGCGTGCGTGTGCTCCTGCCGCCTCCCGGGGCCCTGGTGCGGCTCCTGGCCTCGCACTGGGCCAGCAGAGCTAAGATACTCTGTCTCTTCCTCTGTCACTCTGCCTTCCAAATAAATAAATCTTTAAAAAAAAAAAAAAAACTTCAGGGGCAGGCACTTGGTCCAGCTCGCCTGCCGGCCAGGACGCCCACATCTCACCACTTCCGACCCCCGGCTCCGGCCCCGGCCCCCTGCTGCCCACATGGGAGGCACAGATTGCGTTCTGGGCCCCGGCTCCGGCCCCCTGGGCATTTAGAGAGCTCCACTAGGTGTCCGCCTCTTGATTGACGTCATTTTTGCAGTGTGCTTGCTGGTCCTGGCGCGTCCTCTGGCGTGGGGGTCTGTGGAGACAGCTTCACGGCTCTGGCCCCCGCCCGCACCCAGACTCCACTCCTGTGGATGGGCCCCGACTGCTCCCGCCCCAAGGACCACGCCGGCATCGGCTCCCTGTGCGGCCGTGGCGCTGGCCACAACCCCGCCGTCTTCACACGCCCAGAACACCGCTCATCTTACGGTTTTTATCAGTGTATGAGGTCGGTGTTTGTCGGGTGTGGACCGTGGCTGTTCACGGTCGGCTTCTCGTGTGCCCGTCTGCTGGGTCTCCCCGCCCGGGGCCTGCGAGGGCTGGGCTGGCCGGGAGCCGGGACAAGCCCGGTCCCCCGTGTGGGCACGGGGATCCCTGAGCCGCGACCATCGCCTCCCAGCGACCGCATTGGCAGGAGACAAACCCAGGTCCCCCTGGGGGACGTGAGCACCTTTAAAAAAGGCAGTTACAAGGAGGGGGGTGAAGACAGAGAGAAAGGGACTCCCACCCGCTGGGTCGCTCTCGGAGTGACAGGAGTGACGGGGCTGGGCCAGGCCAAAGCCAGAGCTGCCCCTGAACGGACCCCGCCCCCACTGCCATGCTCCCCTACCTGATAAAGGGGGCGCCCTCCTGGGGGTTGCCTGGGCTCCCCGCCACCTCCTAGACAAATCCTGCTTTGAATGCATTTCCTACCCCGGAACCTGGATCAACCTGGCAGGGGTCCCGCTTCACCACCGTACCGGGCCGCACCGGGAGGCACAGCGATGACTCAGTGCCTGGGTGCCTCCACCCACAGGGGGACCCAGGTAACGTCCAGCCCGGGCTGCTGGGGCAGACCGAGGGTTTCAATCTCTGTCTCTCCTCCCTCCCCTCTCTCCTCTCTCTCTCTCCCCGTCTCTCTCCTCCCTCTCCCTAACTCTCTCCTCTGTCTCTCTCCTTTCTCTCTCTCCTCCTCTCTCTCCTGTCTCTCCCTCTCCTCTCCCCTCTCTCTCTCCTGTCTCCCTCTCTCATCTCTCTCTCCTGTCTCTCTCTCCTTTCACTCTCCCCTCTCCCCTCTCTCTCTCTCTCCTCTCTGTCTCTCTCTCTCTCTCCTCTCTGTCTCTCTCTCTCTCTCCTCTCTGTCTCTCTCTCTCGACCCAGCAAGGGGGCCTCCCCAACCGCTGAACTCACTCATTTTCCCTTCCCCACAGGAATCCACTCAAAAACCCCCAGTGGGAACCTAAAACCACAAACGGTACCAAGCCCTGTAATGCCGTTCCTATTTTTTTTTAATAAAAGATTTATTTATTTATTTGAAGGTCAGAGTTAGAGACAGAGACAGAGAGAGAGGTCTTCCATCCGCTGAGTCACTCCCCAATTGGCCGCAGTGGCTGAGCTGTGCCGATCTGAAGCCAGGAACCAGGAGCTTCTTCCAGGTCTCCCACGCGGGTGCAGGGCCCATGGAATTCAGCCATTCTCTGCTGCCTTCCCAGGCCACAGCAGAGAGCTGGATCGGAAGTGGAGCAGCCAGGTCTCGAACCAGCGCCCATATGGGATGCCGGCACTGCAGGCCAGGGCCTTAACCCTGCTGTGCCGGCCCCACCTTTCCCATTTTTAAAGAAGATGATCACCTTTGAGGGGCCAGTGCTGTGGTGTCGCAGGTCAAGCCTGCTCCTGCGGTGCCAGCTCCGGCTGGGATGCAGGAGCCCGAGGACTCGGGCCATCTTCTGTTGCTCCCCCAGATGCATCAGCAAGGAGCTGGATCAGAGGCGGAGCAGCCGGGACTTGAACCAGCGTCCACACGGGAGCCGGCTTGGTGCAGGTGGCGGCTTTACCGCTAACCCACGCCGGCCCCCTCAACAACGCTGTGTGGAAAGATGAAGGTGGCACAGCTTTGCGCCCACGTAACGGAGAAGCCCCTCGGAGAAACAAGCCCCACTCAGGAGATGGATTTCTCAACGGTGTCCGCAGCTTCACCGTGGACGCCCCTCCCAGACGGGGTTCCGCGGCAGCCGGCTGTGCTGCCCTGCCAAGCTCACTGGCTGAGAGCCAGACGCATCCTCCCGCAGGAGAGGAGCCGGGACCAGGCTCTGGGAGGCTCTGAGCGCGAATCGTCCACGGCGCCCTCCCACTCCTGTGGACGCCCGTCTCCACCTCCGTCCCCACTCGGGGCTCTCCACGCACCCGAGCCCCCTCCCCTCCTAGGACCCCCGATTGGCAGGATGGGTCTGCCGCTATTTCCTAGAGGCCATGGCCACAATGTGTGTGTGTATTTTAAAGGCAGAGAGAGACTGAGAGAAAGACATCTTCCACCTGCTGGTCCACTCCCCAGGTGCCGGGCTGGACCCCGGAGGCCAGGATGAGGTCTGTGCCGTGCCGAGCGCGGGGTCCAAGCACTCGCGCCATCGCCGGCTGCCGCCCAGGGCACAAGCCGGGCGCCGGGTCAGGAGCAGAGCAGCTGGGGGCCGCCATGGCCCCTGTCCTTTCGACACATCTTTGTGATCGAGGTACCTTCTGTGTAATTCTTTAAAAAAAAAAATCCCTTCTCAGGGCTGGTGCTGTGGCGTAGCAGGTGCAGCCACTGCCGGCAGTGCCAGCATCCCATATGGGCGCCAGTTTGAGTCCCGGCTGCTCCACTTCTGATCCAGCTCTCTGCTGTGGCCTGGGAAAGCAGTGGAAGATGGCCCAAGCCCTTGGGCCCTGCACCCACGTGGGAGACCCGGAAGAAGCTCCTGGCTCCTGGCTTCAGCCTGGCCCAAGCCCAGCTGTTGCGCCATCTGGGGAGAGAACCAGCGGATGGAAGACCTCTCCCCCTACCCATCTCTCCTCTTCTCTTTAAAATCAATAAAAAATAAATCTTCAGAAAATTAAGGTAGAGTGACAGAGGAGACAGGACCTGGGACGCCAACTTTATTCCTGATGTTTATTCCTGATGCATGGCCCCGCTGCCTCCCCACGGCCTCCCCGGGTCCCACCTGAGCGCACAGCTCGGGTCACCGTGGCCCCCGCTGCCTCCCCACGGCCTCCCCGGGTCCCACCTGAGCGCACAGCTCAGGGTCACCGTGGCCCCCGCTGCCTCCCCACGGCCTCCCCGGGTCCCACCTGAGCGCACAGCTCGGGTCACCGTGGCCCCCGCTGCCTCCCCACGGCCTCCCCGGGTCCCACCTGAGCGCACAGCTCAGGGTCACCGTGGCCCCGCTGCCTCCCCGCGGCCTCCCCGGGTCCCACCTGAGCGCACAGCTCAGGGTCACCGTGGCCCCCGCTGTCACGCTCTCACCTGGCCTCGCCACGTCCCCAGAGAGGGTCGTGTACACAGGGGAGCACAGTGATGCGGGGGCCACAGCACGAGGACCCGGCCAGGTGGAAGGGGCGCCCAGCCACGGAGGACAGACAACAGACGCGGTGAAGACTGAAGTGGCCCACAGCTGGCGAGCGCCCGCTCTCAGCTCTGTGTGACCTTGGGCGGGCGCCTCCGCCCCTCCGGGCCTCCTGGCCCTGCCCCCAGAACTGCCACAAGGACCAAGTGAACACACACCCTCACATGACACAGCACCCACACACGCACACACGTGGCACAGCACCCACACACACGCCCACACGTGGCACAGCAGCCACGCACGCCCACACGTGGCACAGCACCCACACACACACGCCCACACGTGGCACAGCACCCACACACGCCCACACGTGGCACAGCACCCACCCACGCCCACACGTGGCACAGCACCCACACACACACACACGTGGCACAGCACCCACCCACGCCCACATGTGGCACAACACCCATGCACACAATGCATGTGGTACAGCACCCACACACGCACACACGTGGCACAGCACCCACACACGCCCACACGTGGCACAGCACCCACCCACGCCCACATGTGGCACAGCACCCACACACACACACGTGGCACAGCACCCACACGCACACACGTGGCACAGCACCCACACACACACACGTGGCACAGCACCCACACGCACACACGTGGCACAGCACCCACACACACGTGGCACAGCACCCACACACACACGCCCACACGTGGCACAGCACCCACACACGCACCGCACAGCACGCAGGCGGAACACCCACGTGTTCTCGGCAAGCTCCTGCCTTCTCCAACTCGCTTCACGTCCTGGGCTAGGACCTTGGCAGGCTGATGGCGGAGCCCTGGGTCGGGGCCTGGTTGCCTGCGGGTGCATCGTGGGCGCCAGCCCTCATGTGAGCCCGATGGACACGGAGCGGAGGAGGAGTCTAGAGGGGTCTGCAGCGAGGGCCCCACCCCCAGGCACCCACCTGGGCTCTGAGGCTGCTCCTGTAAAGCCCTACTCGCAAATCCTACGGCAGCCTCCGCCCTCAGCCCCGGACCTCCCGCCACCCCTCGCCCGGGCCTGTGGCAGGCGGTGCGGAGCGGGAATGCTTCTGCCCACAGGAGGTCTCAGCCCCACACCTAGGGAGGACACTGCTCTGTCCCTGAGCCGGAGCCCCCCCCGCCACGAATTCTCAGGGCAGTACAGCAGCAAGTGTGTTTATTACAAAAATAAATGGAGAATAAATGTGGCGCGCGAGAAACGCGGCTGCCCTGCGAATGGCTCTGCCGTGGCAGCGAGGCCCGAGGGACAGCGACTGCGGCGCTGCCTCCCACGGCCTCCCAGCCGCATTCCGCAGGGCAGGCGCTGCGAGCGGGGCTCCCTAGATGTCCTGCTGTGGCTTCAGCCCGACTCCGTCTGAAGGATGGGGCTGGGACCTCCCCAGGCCAGATGCTCCTGACCCCGTGGCCACCGCCAGCCCCGCCAGCCCCGCCAGCACGCCGTCCGTCTCCACCCAGGCCGCTGACCCCTTCTGTTCTGCGCCGAAAGGGGAACCCAGGCGGATGGTCGTCGTGAGGGCCCGGGCCCGGGACACCTGGCCGAGCCGGGCGCTGCCAGGCGCGGGGGACGGTCACTGGCAGCACTCGGCCACGTGCCCGAGGAGCTCTTCGCCCTGCTCGTCGCCGAAGCACCGCAGGCAGTGAGGGCACTGCAGGGCCCCCTGGGCTCCCTGGGCTGCGCGGGGGCCTCTGCCCTCTGCACGGGGCTCCAGCTGCTGGGGCCCAGGCCCAGGCCGCCAGCCAGTGCGCGCCGCGAGCTCCGGCGCGTCAGTCTCTAGGCAGGGGCCCGGCTCCCGGTCCTGCGGAAGGCAGGGGTGTGGTGACACGGGGCTTCCTGCTGTGCCGCAGGGCCCCGCCGACAGATGAAGACAGAGAGCGCCGTGAGTGACCACGCAGACCACGCGCGTGCCCTCCCGTGCTCCCTGCACTTACAGTGGAAAGCAGGCCCGACTGGACCCATGAGCCCCAGGAAACCCAACTGGCAGGCAGCCTTGGCGACATGCCCCAGCCGCCACCACGGGTCGGGGGTGGCGGAGCTCTGGGTGGGACCACACGGACTACGCCCCAGCCCTCAGCACCACGCCCTGGGGCTTGGGGGCCTCCAGTGGCAGCAGGGGGAGCCCCTGGCTCAGCCTTGTCGGCCACGCAGCACCACCTTGCTCCAAACACCTGTCGTGGAGCCCTGTGGCCAGCGGCTTCAGTGTGCCCCCTCCCGTCTGAAACTGGCTTTGCCTCAGTGGCAGGACGGCCTGTCGCCCGAGCCTGTCGCCCACGCCTGTCGCCCGAGCCTGTCGCCCACGCCTGTCGCTGAGCCTGTCGCCCACGTCTGTCGCCCGAGCCTGTCACCCACACCTGTCGCCCACGCCTGTCGCCCACACCTGTCGCCCGAGCCTGTCGCCCACGCCTGTCGCTGAGCCTGTCGCTGAGCCTGTCGCCCACGCCTGTCGCCCGAGCTTGTCGCCCACGTCTGTCGCTGAGCCTGTCACCCACACCTGTCGCCCGAGCCTGTCGCCGAGCCTGTCACCCACGCCTGTCGCCCACGCCTGTCGCTCACGCCTGTCGCCCACGCCTGTCGCCCACGCCTGCGCACTGCCGCTGACCAACAGCGAGTGCTCCCAACGCCGCCACCAGGGATTCTGCCCGTGGGGCCACCTCAGGAACCCAGGCCTGAGGCCTGAGGCTGGTTCTGGTGGCTCCTGGGGGCCCCGCCCCTGAGAGGCTGCCTGAGCCCGCCCTCAGGACCACAGCCTTGGTGGCTCCTCAACCCGTCACACGCTCCCTCAAATCCCTCGAGGCCGGAAACCCACAGGCAAAACCAAGTCCCAGGAAAACCTCCTGTTCCTGCCCAGGGTGCGTGCTGGGGGAGCTGTCCTGGCCGGCAGCCCCAGGGCCTCGGGGAAGCAGGAACTGGGGTGTGAGGGGCCACCCGCATACCCAGGCTCCATCCAGCCATGCCAAGGAAGCCGCCAGGGCTGGGCCGGCAAAGCCTCTGGCACCTCCCTGTCACCTGTGGACTCGGGGGGGAACACAGGCCCTGCCGCGACCCCTCCCCCCGTCATGCACAGAAGAAATGGCCCCTGACGAAGACTCAGCCCAAGGGTGTCCACCGTGACTCTCCTACGCCCATGCACGGGGGATGGGAAGCAGAAGCTACCCACGAGGCCCAGGGGCTGCTCGGGACAGACCAGAGCTGGAGGCCCCACACACCCAGCTGGGAGGGCTCCGCGTCCGCGCTCCGGCCCCAGGTGCGCCGCCTCCCAGAGGCACGCTGCGGTCCAGTCCACGTGAGCACAGGAAGTTTTACCCCAGGCCGGGGCTGTACCAGAAACTCGCTAAGTGGCCAAAGGAACGAACCTCCCCTGGGGTTTCTGCAGTGTGGACGGGCAGGTCGGCACCACAGGTCACACCGCCAGAGACCTCGCCAGTCCTGACTTACGCCGGCCCCTCTCCAGGCACCTCTCATGGTGGGGACTGCACTAAACCAACGCCGGGCACAGGCTGAGCTGAGGACCCTACAGGGCTCTTGTCAAGGCCCGTGCCAGCCCCATGTGACGAGGTAACTGGGTCCCTGTCTCGCAGCAAGGACGGGGCACGGCTGGCGCTGCCAGGAGGGATCCTGCTCTCTGGTCACACGGCAGGGACACACAGGGAGGCGGCGCAGGCCCAGAACAGCCACTCTGCCAACCTCTTCACAGCTAAACGTGGCACAGCGCGGGGTTTGCCAAGAGCTAAACGTGGTACAGCGCAGGAAGGCGGGAAGGGGCCGCCAGGTCGGGGCCTTGAAGGTACGGAAGGGCTCAGTCCATGACGCGGAAAAGAACGCCGCCCATCCCTACCTGTCTCCGAGACCCCTGGCGAGACCCCTGGCACAGCAGGGAAGCCAGCCGCTCCTCCAGCTCCTGGATCCTGCTCTGAGCCCGCTCCCTGTCGGCCCTTTCTGACCTGAAGTCATCCTTGTAGGCGAGAATCTGGGGAGACACGGGACCTTCGTTCTGCTCCAGTGAGAAGGAAGACCCTCCCCGGGCTCCCCCCTGCCCCCATGACTACCGCCCAGCCGTGCTGAGAGCTGGCCTCCCCGGGCTCCCCCCACTGCCCCCACAACCACCGCCCAGCCGTGCTGAGAGCTGGCCTCCCCGGGCTCCCCTGCCCCCACGACCACCGCCCAGCCGGTGCTGAGAGCTGGCCTCCCCGGGCTTCCCCCACTGCCCCCCACAACCACCGGCCAGCTAGGGCTGAGAGCTGGCTTCTCCGGGCATCCCCCCCCCCCCCGCCCCCACGACACCACCCAGCCGGTGCTGAGAGCTGGCTTCCCCGGGCTCCCCCCCCCCCCCCGCCCCCACGACACCACCCAGCCGGTGCTGAGAGCTGGCCGCCACCTGCAGGCAGACGACGGCGGGTGCCGCCCAGAGCCCAGGGACAGACCTGCTGCTCCAGTATCTGCACCCGCTCCAGGGCAGCGTCCTGGGCGGTCCTGGCGGCGGCCAGCTGCTGCCTCGCGTCCGCACACGCGTCTACTTCCTCTTCCAGCTGCCTGTTGAGCCGGGAAACCTCCTTCCTCAGCAGCTCCGGCTCCCGGGGGGCCTTCAGCTCCCGCAGCTGCGCCTGGAGCTCCCGCACATACTCGTCCCTGCTGGCGTCGTAGCGCTGCCACTTGGCGTTGAGGTCTTCCACCTGGGGAGGCGCGGCCGGGAAGCTCACGGCAAAGGCGGCGGAGCCCGAAGGCCGAACCTGGCGCCGCGCGCCGGCAGTACCTCGCCGACCTCTCCCCGCGCGTGGAGTGGACGCTGAGCCCACCACAGCAGCACCCGCAGCCTCGCTCTCGGACAGAAGTGGACTCCCTGCCGCCTTCCTGCCTTAGAGTCTCTGCCTCTCCTTGACTTCCTTTCCATCAGACGGGCACCGTGGGCGGCAGGACAGCCCGCCCAACTGCCACACAGCACCCCACGCGCACCGGTCCGCGTCCCGGCTGCTCCACTTCCAGCAGCCCCCTGCTCACAGGCCTGGGAAAGCAGAGCGACGTGGCGGCGTGCCCGGGCCCCAGCACCCAGGGGCGAGACCCAGAGGGCGTCCCAGGCCCCTGGCTTCAGCCTCAGTTGCTGTGGGCATCTGAGGCGTGAACCAGTGAGTGGAGGCGCTCGCTCTCGCTCTCGCTCTCTCTGTCTCTCCCTCTAATTCTGCCTTTCAGGACACGTCCTGCTCATCCCCCGGGCAGGAAGCTGGGCTGCTGGGGCCGTGTGCACCAAGCCACAGTGGCCAGCCGGTGGGGGAACGACTGGGCACGGGCTGGGGAAGAACCCTCATCGCACTCGGTCAGGGTGCGTGTTCTTCCAGGAGACGCAGACACTCACATGAGTCACTTTCTGTTTTAACAGTCGGTTCTCCTCCCGTAACTTCTCCATGGCGGCCTGAACAGAGCTGTCCGTGCCTGGACACGTGGGCTGCACAAAGCACAGAGGAGACCGTGTCACGGCACGTGGCCCACGCAGCAAGGGGCGGAGCCAGACCCGGGGTTGAGGCCATGATCACCACCGCGTCCCCCAGAGCTATGGGCCCGGCCGCCTCCTGGAGCCCACCACGCTGTCCTGTTCCCACTCAGGTCCGCTGCGGTCATCTAACTCGTGCTGGGAGACCGAGTCTCAGGAAACACCCGTCTGGACCCCCGGAAGCTCCGCGCACCGCGCGTGCCGGGGACTGGCCGTCAGGGACGCTGTCGCCGAGAATTCCCCTCTGGTGACGAAGGAAGTGCAAGTCCTGAGCCGGCCTGCGCCGGGAAGCCCCGGGTGACTCAGCCACGGCAGGCCGAGAAGTGAGGGGCACGGGGCTGCCCGCCGGAGGCCCCACCCGCACGGGCGGCCGCTCAGGGAGCCACACGGTGACTTCAGCTGAGAGCACCACGCCTCTCCCTGCACTCTCCTCTGGGCTTGAGACACAGCCCCGCTCGCTCTCCACGGGAGACGGGGTGGGGTCCTTGGCCAAGTCTCTCCCTGAAGGGCTCGTCAGTGAAGCTGCCCGCCTGCCCCGGCCCTTGTACACGCTCACCCGACTGCCCGCGAAGGGCCTGACCAGGAGCCTTGTGCTGGGCACAGGGGTGACACGCAGCCTCAGCCCGGCCCACCAACAGCCTGCCCCACACGTGTCCCCACAACCCGCCAGCAGGAAGACGCCGTGGCCAGGCCCTAGCCACACGGTCTCGGCTCTCCCTGCTCAGCAGGCCCCCGACTGCTGGGTGAGCAGAGTACCCTCTCAGCACCTGGGAGCAGGGTCAGCCTCAGGCTGGGGGGGCAGCCGGCTCCCCTA